CAACCACTGCCTATCCAACACCTACTTCATCTATAATGGACAAAAATACAAACAAACAGAAGGAGCACCCATGGGATCACCCCTCTCACCTGTAATTGCCAACCTCTACATGGAACACTTTGAAACCCAAGCTCTAGAAAAATCGGATCACAAACCCAAACTCTGGCTCAGATAAGTAGACGACACCTTCATAATCTGGCCACATGGGAAAGAAAAACTGGACAACTTCCTCACACACCTCAACAGCCTACACCCCAAAATACAGTTCACCATGGAAACAGAAGCTAACAACCAACTTCCCTTCCTGGATGTCTTAGTCTACAAGAAATCCAATGGCTACCTAGGACACACCATCTACCAGAAGAAAACACACACAAACCGCTATCTGCACGCTCTCTCACACCACCACCCAGCACAGATCAACTCTGTAGCCAAGACACTCATCTCCAGAACAAAACACTTAGCTGACGAACAACACCTAAAACCCGAACTACACACTCTCACCAATGTACTAACATCCAATGGATTCCATAGAAATAAGATTACAAACCTAATCCAAAAAGAAAACCCCACTAAAATCCAAGACAAAGAACAAGAAAACGGCAAAGCCCTCCTCCCATACATAAAAGGCACCACAGACAGAATCAGTAATATCCTCCATAAACACAACATCAAAACAGCATTCTGCACAAACAGAAAAATATCCACCATCCTTAGAAACCCCAAAGATAAAATTGAACTAGAAAATCAAGGAGTATACGAAATCCCATGCACCACTTGTCCCACCACATACATCGGACAAACCAACAGAAGAATAAGTGCACGCATTGAAGAACATAAGAACTCAGTCAAAAAAGAGGAACCAACATCGTCCCTGGTCCAACACCTTAAAGCCACAGGACACGAAATTGACTTTAAAAATACCAGAACCATTGCCAAAAGTGAACATTTTAATAACAGAATAATCAGAGAAGCCATCGAGATAGAAAAACGCCCACACAGCATGAACAAGCGAGATGATACCTCCCGCCTACCAGCCATTTGGAAACCCGCTCTTATTGACAAACGACTCCCTAACACAAAAAATGATACCAGACCACACTCACAAAAACCACACAGGATGTCACCACCACACATCCACGCAAAAAACAAACCCAAAGCCACACCGATGACGAGGCACGACCACAAACCAGAAGCCAGACCACAGCTGCATCATTAGCCACTTTAAACCCCTCCAATCCATACATGAAGCAAACTGACACCCCCCATGAAGAGGAGGCACGACCACGAACGTGAAGCCAAAAAATAGCAAGGCAGCCCAAAATCTTAAACCCCTCTGCAACTCAGACTAACCTGAGCACAACCAAACAGAACACTCCCCAGCCAATCAGAGCACAGCCAAGCCCCTAACCATTCAGAACACACCTCCACCCAATCAGAACACAGCCAAGCTCCCACCCAATCAGTTCATACCCCCACTGGCAGTTAAAAGGAAGAAACAGCTAAGACCACACATTGCTGCTCAAACCACGAAGCTGAAAACACCAGCCTGAAGATGACGAATGGGACTTCGTCGAAACGTCGCCAAGACACTTCCAATTTTACGCGGGAGAAAACCCGAACAACCAAAGACATACATACATACATATATATATATATATATATATATATATATATATATATATATATACACACACACACACACACACATACATACACACACACACATACACACACACATACATTGTATATGTATACTGCATGTGTGTGTGTATAAAAACATGGTAAAGGGTAAAAGGGTAAAGTGCATCAGACTGGTTAGAACTGGCAAACACCTTACTTTTCTACCTCAACTTGACTACAATAATACAATAATACATTCTACATGGGGAGAGGAAATATCAGAGGGTTCTGATGGTGGAAAACAAGGCAAAGGCTGCTAACAGTTCAGCACATCTGAGCACCTTAAGATCACATTGAACAACATACATTTGTTGTCACTGTTTTCTAAGCAGAAGACACAATACAATACAATACAATACAATACAATACAATACAATAACACAGTTGGAAGGGACTTTGGAAATAGGTCTTCTAGTCCAGGGCTTTTCAATCTTTTCACCCATTGTACCGCTTTTAGGATATGGCAACATCCGAGTACCACCAGTCACTTAGCAAGGTGTCAAAAACTTGATGACCCCCCCCCAAAAGGAAAAAAGTGATAAAGTACAGGTAGTCCTCGACTTACAACAGTTTGCTTAGTGACTCTTCGAAGTTACAATGGCACTGAAAAAACTGCCCCCCAAGCCACAGCCGAACAAGACACCTGCCTGCCCGCCCGGCCGTGCTCTTCCTCCTGTCTGAGGTTTTCATTGTTGTGAGCATTTCTGTTGAGGATTGGCAGCAGGGGTGGGGTGGGGGGGGGTGTTTGGTTTTTATTCCCCCCATCTGCTGGGTGGTCGCAGCAGGTTTTGGTCACTTCACATGACCCTGGGACACTGTGACAGTCATAAATATGAATCAGTTGCCAAGCATCTGAATGTAAATCACAAGACCCTGGAGAGGCTGCAACATTCCAGCTGATCGGCACTTCTTCTGGGCTCCAGCTGGAGCCTGGTGCTAATCCTGGCACTTCCATTGAGCCCTGACAGCCCCGAAGAAGCGCTGATCAGCTGGAAAGCGGCACTGATCCTGGCGCTTCCGCTGAGCCCTGACAGCCCTGCAGCTCCAGCCATCTCTCACTCAGGCTTGTGCGGTGCTGCCACCAGTTCAGCTCATTCCCCTTCCTCACTACCACTTTTCTAGGATGGTCGCGTACCACCTTTCAGGTGCCAATGTACCACAGGTGGTACCCGTATCACTGGTTGAAAAGCCCTGTGCTAGTCCAATCCCCTGCTCAGGCAGGAAACCCTAAACCATTGTCTGAAATGGTATAGGTCAGGGGTAGGCAACCTTGGCTCTTTTATGACTCATATGCTGACTCAGGAATTCTGGGAGTTGAAGTCCATGAGTCATAAAAGAGCCGAGGTTGCCTACCCCTGGTATAGGTTCTCCTGCTTGAGCAGGGGGCTGGACTAGAAGACCTCCAAGGTCCATTCTAGCTCTATTTTATTTCTGCCCGAAATGCTGGAAAAATATTATCAATTTATTATGAATGGACCAATTGGCAAAAGGCAGCTTTCTATGATGTGCATAATTAAATAAAACTCACTTTTAATTGGCTATGTCACTGTAAGTTTGACTGGCTTACAGTAAACACCGTGGCCTCAGTCAACCTAATCAAATGAACACTAAAAGTAATGGGGCTTAAATGAATCAAATTGATCTTAATAGAAGAATTGTTTCAGAATTCAATGAGTTTGCTCTTTAATCAGTGTTTACAATTGGCCAGTAAAACTGCAATGTTGTACACATTTACAGAGAAACATATTCCCTATATACACATATAGTTTACACAGGAGAGCAAACTCAAACTACAGCTAGCAATGTATCGGGAGTGGGGGCCAAAATGTATGAAAAGACAGTATAAAATAATAAAAATATTGGCCAGGATATAAAGAGAGTAAACCCAATTCCATTCATGCAACAGGACTCTTCTACTTTTTTAACTACAGTATCAAACTCTCCTTGATATTTTTGGAATGCAGGGGCACCATAGAAAAGAGCAGGAAGGAAACAAGCATCACTGGACAAGATTTGGAAGTGGACTATTCTGGGGGAGTTGTGTGTGCAAAAGAAAGTACTTTGCTGCTTGCATGAAAATAATAATACTTTGTTTCTCTGATTCATTTTAAAGCCACATTAAAATTTCTTCTCCAGTATGTTATACATTTTAAGGCTTTTACTACAAAGTTTATCAATAAAGTTGTTTATCTCAAACACAATAAATAGCAGCAGACTTTGGAGGGCTATTTCATTTCACTGCAGAATGCATATTAAATATACATTATGCTTAAGACAACCTAAAGTAGCACAACTCTTCCTGCTGATACCCTTATTTTCAATATACTGCAAGATTTGTCCCAAATCTTCAAGCATGCTATCCTTTCATGTATTCCAAATATATAGTTCTAGAAATATTGTCATCATGTGGTCTTTTCTCTTAGGTTTATGGGGTTTACATTACTTTTGAAAAAAATATAGTGCAATACAATGTAAAAAGCAGATAAACCAAATCTGGAGTTGATCAACCATGGAAAGTGCCAAATATATTGATTAGTGTTTCTCAACCTTGGCAGCTTAAAGATACGTAGACTTCAAGACCCAGAATTTCTCAGACAGTGTGGGGAAGCCCCAATTCAGTCTGGGAGCCCCAAGCTGAACTCCACACATTTTCAAGTTACTAAGGTTGGGAAACACTGGTTTCATCTATCTTCTACATAAATAAAAATGTAAATGTTCGTTTGTTCAAAATCTTAAATCTCTGAAAGTTCTTCACCAATTGCTTTGAAATTTTGACACAACGTTGCAATCGAATACACACATGTTTTTATATACTTATAGTATATAGATGTCACACCTGTGACAGGTAAAAACATGCTTTTTTAAAAAAACAGCACCATCTGTTGGATGTAAAAGCAACACACGCTACGATTTCAGACAATCTCTATATCTGCACAGACAATGGAACAACAAAAAATATTGTATACCCACAAGCATTGTGAAATTAAACATATTACAAATGCGCACTTTCTCTTTTCTTTCTTTTCCATTTAACCAGACTGAGCCATAGCAACGCTAGTATTTTAATATGATATTATATAATATCTTGATATTTATTATATTCTGTACATTTATATTAAGTTTGAATTTTTTCCTTGGTTTTAACATGAACACCTATAAAGGATTGGTCATAATGTTCAAACTGCCTTTTTGAACAGGATGTGACTCAGCAATAAATCATTCATCAATTGAATTTCAAGTTGAGTTATTTTTTTAAAAAAACCAGTTTTTAACAAATGTTTTAAATGGCCAGTTTAGGGTAACAGAAAACTACTCACCTATTCATTTGTCCATTTTCTACTTCTGTAAAATCATTAGAATCATTGCTAATGTTGTCATCTTCATGAAGCTTCATATTTTGCATCTCAGTTAATTCTAGTGTTATTTTGAAAGGCATCTTGATTTAGAGAACTTATCCTGGAGTTTGAACTTTGGAGCTAAGTGAGCAGCCACACAATGAGTTTGACAACCTGAAAAAAAAGGAGTCATTAAAAAAAGCAAAACCACTGGTAAGAAGATCAGCAATTATCTCCCAAAGCATTATGCAATATTTTTCAATTGAGACAATTATTGTCTGAATTGACACTCATTTAACTCTGCTTTCAGTAAATACCTCAATCTGAGAACTTTGACAACAGCTTGAGATATACCAATAGGTTGACTTTTCCCTTCATGTTTAGATGAAAGAGGAAAACAGAGTAAAGGAAAGAGGCATTTAAAATGTTTAGGTAATTTACAGAATCTAATAAATAAGAATCCTAAAATATTATCCAAAGTGTTATGGAAATATATCACAGGCAACACTTCCAGAAAAGTGTTGTTTTAGAAAAAAACAACTCTGATTGTAACAACCAACTAGTATATGGTATTTCTGAATTAAGTCTCCTATGTGTCATTTGAAAATGGCAATTTTCTTACTTTCTGTATAACTATACTCATTGCTTAATAATAGGTGTTAAGTTGCAATCCTGAGTACATTTTACAGATGGTCCTCATTAGCAGCCACTTGTTCAGCAATCATCTGAAGTTATAACAGTGCTGAAAAATATTTGTATAGTTCATTTATGATCTTTGCAGCATTCCAGTTGTATGATCGCCAATATAGTCACTACTACACCTTGTTCTGTGCCTGATCTGCATTTTTTCTCCAGCCCTCCCCCACAAAGCAGATATATTGGACAGATAGAGATGGCAAAGGATTAAGCTGTTTGCTCCTCTATACATCAAAAGCAATGCAATCACATCAGAAGCCCAGAGCTTACAGTACTCTCTTGAAAACTCTTCCTCTCCAATCTCTCTGCTTTGTGGGATAGAGGAAAGGAGGAAAGCAAAGGTGAGTTATGTAGAAAATCTTTCCTTTACCTGATCTCTCCTACTGCCAATGCATTCACATTGCTTAACTCTCTTGAAATTCCTCTTCAATATCTCTGCTTTGCAAAGGAGAGGGTCATACAAAAGAGACCTACATAAATCACTTGTTTTTTCTCTCAACCCCTCTCACAGAGTGGAGTTTGCAGAGAAGAGGATTTCAAGACAGTAAGCTGTTTGTGTAGCACACCCATGCATTGCTTTCGATGTGAACAAGATAGTAAGCAGGCACTCAACCATTCCAAAGGGAAAGGGATGTTAGGAAGCAAATCCAAGCAATAATTAATCCAAGCAATTGGTTAATCCAAGCAACACTGAATTCACATATTGCATTAAGCAATGGATTGTTTTTTTTTATTAAAAAGTTTTATTAATAATTACATAATAAACCCAGTAACCCTCCCTACCCCCCCACCCCCCCACTTCCCGGAACCAAATACAGGGTATATCAAACATATTAAACATAATCTAATTAAGTTAACAAATATATTAATCATAAGCTAAACAAGTTTAACAATTTATACAACAATTATTATCATACTTAACCCTTAACTCCCTTTAAACCTTATTATTAATAATACTTATTTTTTAATCATAAAATAAGTGGAACTTTTCAGTTCCTTATTTAACCTGAATATAATCTATCCATCTTCTCCATACCATAATATATCTTTCTTGTGTATGATCCTTTAAATAAGCAGAAATTTTAGCCATTTCTGCTAAATTGGAAACCTTAAAAGTCCATTTTTCTAATGTAGGCAACAAATCTTTCTTCCAATATTGACCTAACAATAACCTTGCCACTGTAATTAAATTCAACATTAAAATAGTTTCTTTAACATCAAAATCCTCAAAAATCCCTAATGGAAATAGTTGAGGAGTAAACTTTATCTTCCTTTTAAAAATATTTTGAATGTTCCACCAAATCATAATCCAAAAAGCCTTAATATTTTTACAAGTCCACCAAATATGAAAATAAGTTGCATCAGAACTACCACATCTCCAACATTTGGGCTGTAAATTAGGATACATACAAGATAACTTTTTAGGATCCAAATGCCACCTATAAAACATTTTATAAAAATTTTCTCTTAAATTTTGAGCCTGTATAAATTTAACATTTCTAATCTAAATTGTCTCCCATAAATCCAATGGGATTGGTTCCTGAATATTCTGAGCCCATTTCACCATACAATCTTTAACCAATTCCGTTTCCGAATCCAATTCTATTAAGATATTATAAATTCTTTTTATATGAGCCTTGTTCTGATCTTTAATCTGTATTATCAGATTTTCATCTCCTAATGTTATCCCCACTCTCTTGTCTAAATTCCACCTGTCCACTATTTGTAAATATTGAAACTGTTGTGTCCTGAGCCTGCAAAGGCAAGCTCGGGACGTTGCAATGGTCCTGGGCAGTTGCAAGCTGCACGGGACCAGACTGAGTGGCGCCGGCTTTGCACGCATGCGCGAGGTGCGGAGCGCACCTAAATGTTACCTTTTTGCCCGGGGATGCTATTAAAGGAGTCAGAGAGGCCTGTGAGCCTCAGAGCTGTGACGGAGAGAGAACTACTTCAAATAAAGGGCTGTTGGAATTACAGAATGTGCTGTATTCATTCGCCGTTGACTCGAGGACTCAACACTGGTGACGAAGGTGGGATGGCTTACAAAAAACAAAAAGAAGAATTGTAAGCTTACCCAAGAGTCCTGAAGAGAGGAAGACGGCGTTAAACTCAGCATCTGGCCTGCCAGTACAGCATCACTGGAGGTAAGCTGGCTGATAGACCCCTTCCTAACAGAGAAGCAAGAATGGCGAAGATAGGGAGACTGTCTGAATTCGATGTCACGCACCCAGAAAGATGGGAGTCTTATGTTGCCAGGGTAGAAAATTACCTTAGAGTAAATCAAGTAAGAGAAGATGGCTTGAAGGCCGCTACTTTGCTGTGTGTCTATGGTCAAGATGCATTTGAAATTGCTGAAAATTTGGCAGCCCCTGCTCCTCTTGAATCTGTCACTTATACAGATTTAAAAAAATTATTGAAGGAACATTTTCAGCCCAAGTTGTCTGTTATTGCATGGAGACATACTTTTGAACAGAGGGACCAAAGAGCTGGTGAATCAGCTAAAGAATACATTACAGCCTTAAGAAAAGCAGCTAAGCCTTGTGATTTTAAAGACTTAGAAGAAAGGTTGAGAGACCGATTTGTATGTGGGCTTAGGAACAGAGACTTGCAACAGAGACTCTTTGCAAAGGAGGACATTTCATTCCAAGATGCCTTGAGAGAGGTCACTGCAGAAGAGGCAGCAGGTGGGGCAGTCAAGAACATGAGGCCTATCAGGAACAACCCAGAAGCTGTCTCCGTGCACCATGAGGGAGTCCAGGAGAGCTCGGAAGAAGATCCTGAAGATGAAGTGGATCATCTTTACTCAGCCAAAGAAAGAAAACAGAGGGAAGGCAAAGAAAAGTCTTCAACTGTACCCAAGTGCTTCGGGTGTGGAGGTCACCACAAGAGGACCGACTGCAGGTTCCGTTCTGCAATCTGTAGAGCATGTGGAAAGCAAGGCCACATAGCAGCTGTGTGTCTGGGCCGTCAGAAGGTACAACCCCGAGAAGAATTGCGCCTGAAAGGTACCAGGATCCCCAGCCAAAATAGGGTGGGTTTCTGTGCATCACGTAGAAGCATTTATAGGACAGGCACACACAAGCCACTTAAAAAGAAACTGTCACTTAAGGTGAAGTTGCAAGGAGTTCCATTGGTTATGGAACTGGACACTGGGTCTGCACTTTCAATTATTTCCATTCACACTTTCAGAAAGATTTGCTCTAGCAGTGGGTTCCAGGCCAAGCTTAGGCCATCCAATATAGTCTTAACGGACTTCCAAAATTCCAAGGTGTGTGTTAAGGGGGAGGCCACCCTTAATGTACAATACAAGGATTTTGAAGGTCTATTAGATGTATTGGTAGTTGGGGGTGAACGCACGAGTCTCATTGGACTCGATTGGTTTGAGGCCTTGGGAATACAAGTTACAGGGCTTCACAATTTGCAAACATTAGGTCTACAGGAAGTCTGCAAAGAATTTGCAGATGTCTTCAGCCCCCAGCTGGGAGCATACAAAGCCCCCCCCCGTTTCCTTGAAACTGGACCCCACTGTCACTCCTATCAGAGTAAAAGCAAGGAGAGTACCCTTTGCTTTGAAAGGGAAAATTGATGCTGAACTGGACAAATTGATTTTGCAAGGTGTCTTAGAACCTATTGACTCAAGTCCATGGGAAACTCCCATAGTCACGCCTCTCAAGGCTAATGGGGATATTCGCATCTGTGCAGATTACAAATGCACTCTAAATAATGCACTGCAACAGCATGCATATCCTGTACCTGTAGTCAGCCACATTTTGGCCTCCCTCAAAGGGGGGCGTGTTTTTGCAAAGCTGGATTTAGCACAGGCTTATCAACAGTTACCTGTTGATGAAGCTGCTGCTGAAGCACAAACTATTGTAACTCATAGGGGGGCATTCAAAGTCAAAAGATTACAATTTGGAATAAATATAGCTCCTGGAATTTTCCAAAGTGTAATGGAAAACACCCTGAGAGGTATACCAGAGGTTTGCCCCTATTTTGATGATGTCCTAATAGCAGGAAAATCCACTCAAAATTTAGCTGAGAGATTGAGGGCTGTTCTGCTGCGTTTCAGGAAAATAGGCCTCAAGCTTAAAAAAGACAAATGCAAAATTGGAGTGTCTTCTACAGATTTCCTGGGATTCAGAATAGATGCCAAGGGCATTCACCCTGCTGAGTCTAAATTAAAGGCTATCCTGCAGGCTCCTAGGCCTAAATCTAAAGCTGAATTGCAAGCTTTTCTGGGACTCTTGAACTTTTACAATGCATTCATACCTAACAAAGCTAATGTAGCTGAGCCACTTCATCGACTCTTAGACAAACAGGCAGTGTGGCAGTGGTCACAAGCACATGAAGAAAGCTTCAATGAGGTCAAGGCCTTACTTACATCAAATGATGTGCTTGCACATTTTAATGAAACTCTTCCTGTGTGCATCGCTTGTGATGCTTCCCCTTATGGGGTGGGAGCTGTACTCAGTCATTTA